TTAAAATCAGCGATCGTCGAGATAACAGCGAGTCGAGCCAAGTCGAGCCGAACTGCGTACAATCTAATCCCAAAGAATCGAAGAGACTAGAGCGAACTATGTAGCCGCGATCGATGATACGAATGCCCCATTGAACTTCGCGCGCCGTTGTCCAAAGATATGCAGATTTGTTCGCGAAAGAAACGAAACTTCGGCAACTAACGCTTTGCGAACGAAGCCGCGGGTTCGCGTAAAGATCCGCGGCTTGCTCGCGCTCTATAGACGAACAGATTCGCGGGATCGCTTAATTTTTGATCGGACTGGTGGTGGACATCGGATGCGTTTTTCCCACGACCTTTCCGCGCGTTCAGAGAATCTCTCGACGGACAATCAACTCTACGAGCTGTGACGACACGGTCGACGGTCGATCGCCGCGTGGCCCTGTAATAACAAGTTCCACGGTATGACGTCGTTGCCGTAACAGTTCTTGACCCGCGGACTCGGCGATGACGTCTCAACGGAAGCGTAAAAGTCAACCACGAAGACGACGCGGACTCGTCGAGCAGGGTTGCGCGCGGGAACAGGGGGGGGGCTGTTGCTTGCTGTCTATAGACGGGGGCTGCATAACTCGCACGGAGTTAGTAGTTGCACGTAATTATTCAAACTCGGGGGATAGCCTGAAGTTCAGGTTGCTCTATTGATCGGGCAATGGTCGAGCGAGGCCGGTTGAAACGTAAGTCTCGAGTACGTTGCTCCGACTGGATTTCTCTTATTGTTAGTCACAACTCTGTTATCGGGAACCGAATCATCGCTACCGCCACCGTCACCGCTCGCCGGATAAATTAATTCGCGATAGTTAGTCGCCGGATTCTTCCCTGTCTGTCCGTCTGTCTGCTCTTCGTCCGCGCAGCTACACTCCGAGGATTGTTTCCCTCCGATGCTGGCGACGGATTAGCGACAAGCTTCGCGATTCGAGAATAAAACAACCGTCAATTTATTTAATTTATAGTTTGTTCGATTTATTACTTCCGCCATAAACTATTATGTCGATCTATTCCTAGGTTTGTTTTCTTTTCTCCACAGTTTATAAACAAATGCATAAAAATATTTCTGCATTTTAAATATACAGGGTGTCCCAAACATGTCTTGCAATCCGAAAGTGGCGCGTTCCTCAGGTCATTTGAAGCAACTTTTTCCTTTACAAAAATTGTCTCCGAGGCATAGTTAACGAGTTATTAACGAAAAACAGTGACCAATGAGAGGCGAGCTCAGCCGGCGCGAGGCGACCGAGCCAATTAGCGGAACTGGGATTCGACCGCTCGACCGCTGGCGCCGTTGACTCGGCCGCCTAGCGCCAGCTGAGCTCGCCTCTCATTGGTCACTGTTTTTCGTTAATAACTCGCTAACGGTGCCTCGGAGAAAATTTTTGTAAAGGAAAAAGTTGCTTCAAATGATCCGAGGAACCCGCCATTTCCGGATTGCGAGACATTTTTGGGACACCCTGTGTATATATATTCTCATTTTTCACTGAATTATATTTAGTTTTGCAACAGTTTATTTAATTCGACTGCAAGAATCCGCAGAATTCGATTTTGTTCGTTATTTTGATTTCGAAGTGCATTTATTTTGCTTCTAAGTTTTCTTTCATAAAAAGGCCGGTACAATCATTTGTTCACGTTCCCAAAGATTTCTCGTATTTCTATCGTTCAATGAACAAATCAATCGCTGTCAAAGAAGATTCGTAAAGTAATTATAAAGCGTACTTACCGTCGGTTTGTAATCGGAAAGGGATTGGTCGAGGGTGGTTGAAAGAAATAGCACCTACGTATCCATCGTTTATTAAAGCAAAACTTTATTATAGCAATAGTGAACAATGGATAACTATTAAAGATTTTTAACATATTTTTTTGTTTTTTTGATAAAAATAGCGATTGGATGTTTAGGTTTAGGTATTAGGTGAATATCTAAAGGGTCTCTTACCGTACGAAGTTGTTCGAACTAAAAGAAGTGTCTACAGTCGAGTGTGTTTCAACGATGATGATAATCGCGCGCACGCGTCGGATATACGTGTGTGAATTTTTCATCAGCGGGGCATGTCCACCGTGAATCTGGGAAACGGTATTATCGAAACAATTCCGTCGATAAATTCCTCGATTTTTGGAACGGCGGGAGGCGGGGGTGGAGCCGGGTGGTGTCGGTGGTTCGTCATCCCCGGACCTCCCGGCTTCGTTGGCTAACCGATCAAAAGCATGAGAACCGATGTAACGCGCTAACGAATCCAATAAATCGCGATTACCGTCGAAAATTGGAAAGCAGACAGTAAAATTCCGCCTGTCGTTCATACTCGAAATATTCTCGATAAACGAAAATGGAAGTTCGCCGCGGCGAATGAAAGCGAAAATTTCATCCGCCGCATTCCTTCGCCGAAAAATATCATCGTTTCGTCCTTGATTCTAATCGCTCGTTGCTAATAAACCGTTTCCCGGGCGACTTTCCGAAAAATTCGATCGAATCGAGAAGAAATGTCTGAAAAACTGAATGCCCGCGAAAGAACCGGCCTCGGATTCACGGTGTACTTTGGTCCGACCCTAATCTCTACCCTTGATCGCTGGCAGTTCAGAGAAGGATGAGCACAATACAAATAAGAGGAAAAGAGCGGTACAAAGGAGGAGGGAAAACGGAAAGGGTGGAATAAAACGCGACGTCGATGACGCCGGGGTCCCTCCCGGTAATAATGGCAGTAATGAGAAATGAATTCCGCAGATACGAAACGATTAATTTCGCGTGGGGTGTCTCTCTCTCTCTCTTTCTCTCTCTCTCTCTCTCTCTCTCTCTCTCTCGGTCTTCCTCCCACCCCGGGAATCCTCTCTGTCACGGTCGATGGGAATTGTCATCGAAACGATATTAAAAGGGAAAACGACGCAAGAAGACAAACGGCGGCGCTGCGATAGAAGAAGATAACGGATCGCGTGAAATTATTGGACTGTTGCCTGCGACCGGGTCCACCTTTAAACCGATTTTCAAAAATCACTTTTCCGATTCTCAATTCTGTACACCAATTGGCTTTCGCAAACGTTATAAAATGTGTTTTCATCTGGCTGGTGGAACCCAATCACGTCCATGTCTATCGTAGCGTTCTGTCTCGCTCGATGCATCGTGTGCGATGCATTCGATGTACGATTACAATCGATATCGCGCGATATTTGTTCGCGATGCAAAGAAAGCCGGAATATAAAACTGCACAGATTTCTGATTTTTATGCAAATAGCTGTTTTTTTATCGATTCGATGCTATTCGTTTTATTGTTTTCATAAACGGGCCGAATCTGTGATGACAGGAAAGGTATATTACGATAGTCGATAAGAACAATGAACGGGCATTAAAGTTTGTTTTAGATGCTGAACAATGTGCAATCGATTCCGCTGTCGTTACGAATCTAATCATTCTCCTCGAAAGAGCCGGGTCGCAGACAAGAGTCCAACGAAACCGAACAATGGAATAACGATTGTTCCAAACGGTGACCGATTTACAAGAAGCACGGTAAAAAGATCGGCAGATCACCCCCTCCCGCCCCCGACACCCCTGGGAAAAGAACTGAAAACCGATTTCGTACAGAAATCTAGAGAACCTAAGACAGTCGTCGGCTAGTTCTAATGATATATTTGAATTAGTCGTTACCGGCTATCCTACTCTCCTCCTTGTATCGTAGTAATAAGTCATCGTAGTTTACGTGTTTTTATTTAGGGCATCTCTCTTTCTCTCTTTCTCTCTCTCTCTCTCTCTCTCTCTCTCATTCTCTTTCTCCCGCTGTTCCTCCGCTTTCTCCCTTTTCTCTTATTACCTCGAGTAACTGTCGTCACGGGGGACGTCATTATTTTTTTTCGCACAGCGTACACTAAATCGATCTATAACCTATCTGTGGGGGACTCGATCGCCGCTGCTGGATCCGATCGATCGATCGATGGCCCGACGAACCCGATGGTCCCCGAGCCGAACGCTCCAGAAATCGGACGCGATCGGCTCAAGTCGCTTCTCGCATGATTATC